TTGACACCCCTTACTTTTCTATTGTTTCTAATTCTTATCGCTAAAATCTCTGCAGATTTATTTTAGAAACTGCATTTTTATGTAAAACTTTTATTCATTTTCTAATCTCTTCCCCAAATAGTTTAGTACTTCATCAATGAATTTACAAGATACAGAATCGAACGCTTTCTCAAAATCAATAATCAATAGCATCCCTGGTATATCAGTTCTCTCTGCGTAATCCATAATATCGCATATCAACCTTGTGTTTCTCCCACATATCGCTCAGAAATAAAACATGTCTGATCTGGATAAATTAATTTACCTAACACTGCTTTTATTTTATTTGCTATACAGCCTGATGCAATTTTATGTGGTCGCCACCTTGGTCACTCAAGTATGTCGAGAACAGTCTTTTTTACGTGAAAAAGACCCTTGTTTATTTCACTGTAGAAATATTCTACTTCTTACATCCAAATCTCAGTATACTTTTCCTATTGTAAAACAAATGTCATATCCGATGTTTTCCCCGAAAAATCTGTATAATATACACAAAAGGTAAGTTTTGTGGAGACCGGTGTAAAGTACGACTGCTCAGGTCCTAGGTAACCTTGACCTTCAACGAAATTTTTGTTTTCAAACAACAACAAAAAAATCAGGATTTTACTTTAATATGTTTGGAGTTAAACGTCCTCAAGAAAACTAACAAACAAACAGACAAACAAAATCGTAGGCAATTAAGTATAATTCGTAATTATGTTGAATTTTGTTATTCTCAAAAGACATTAAGTAAAGTGCACAACACCTCATATCTTTAACATATCCTCATGTTCATATTGATTATATGTACCTCAATCAAATTAAAACCGTAACATCCGTGTTGACATCAATACATTACAACCCTAAACATTCTTTGTATATGTATCAAAAGTTATATTTTATACTCGACCAACGTACATGTAAAGGCGTAGTCACGTATCAAGACCAAATGGTCGTTTACAAACTATGTCTGAGTAAGCAATTTGTATTGTTTACATCGATTCCTTATAACCAGAATATTATTATGCGCATCGAAATGTATCGTCACTGTACTCCAAATGGGACTCTTTTGAGTTAAATATTGATGTATTTTATATAATAGTGTCTATGGTTGCTTATTTATGCCATTGACTTTCGACTTACTAGTTACCTAGGTTGACATATGCTTTAAAAGATGTCGACATAATCTGTGAAGATGTCGACATAATCTGAGAAGATGTCGACATAATTTGAGAAGATCACGACATAATCTGTGAAGATGTCGACATAATCTGTGAAGATGTCGACATAATCTGAGAATATGTCGACATAATCTGAGAAGATGTCGCAATCACGTTTAAATTATGTCGACATATTTTTACGTTTTCCGAGATAATTTTGCCAAGGTAATTATCGCGTACAATGTAAGTAGGTAATTCTGCTTTTGATCATGTTAATGCTCAGATGTGACATCGACTTGTCACTTAGTAATGCAAAACAAAACGGGTGTGTTAGCCAATCATTTTATCATGATAGTATCACGTGATGTACGAATAGCTTATAATAAGTCGGTTTAAGCACGACTCAGCCTTATTTCAGGTTTTGTATATTAGCCTTTTCACCCCTATGTAACTTTAGTAGAATCTACCATGCAGTGATATGGAGGGGTCTATTATGGTCTACAGTCGTGAAAGGGCTAGCCATATCAGTCACCTGATAATTTGATTAACTTCATATACTCTTTTTGTGTTGCATACATCAGTTATATGACCTCTGACCTCACTTTGTAAACAATTCCCCCCTCACACTCACACACACTAACAAAAAACGAGGTTGTGTTTAAAAGGTTTTAAAATATACAAATTAATTTTATTAATCCTCTATTGAACCTATTAATAAGAAATCACACTCTTTAATTCAGATACATGGTATACATGAAATCTTTATCACTCTTACGTACTTACATGTGGAACATATTAACCGCTCGGCATGAATACACTCATTCTACATGAAATTAATGACGTCATAGAGGTACGACAGTTGGGTGTGTGTGTATGTGTGTATAAAGTTTTTTTTTATATCATGTTTGATATATTGTTTTTGTATGCATGTCTATTTGTCTGTGGCAATATATGTTAGTGTGTATAAAAGAGATGTGTGTGTTATAGGTTACAGTGTGTGATCCTTTGTTTACTTACCTGTATAGTTCTATTTTCATATATCACATGACGTACATAGCTGTCCTGGTTTCTATTGGTTAAATTATAATAATACACTTTGGTCAGTTTGATGGGAATCTCATTGTTAAAAAAATAGTACTCTTTAGCCTGTCAAACTGAAACTGGGGTGGATCTGTTTAATCCGTTGTCAAAAGGCACTGTTAATTTTTAAAGGGAAGCGTTACGCCCGATTGAAAACAGGAGTTCCACATATCAAAAGTATAAATCCAGGCTGCAGTATAATGATGGAAACACGACGGAAGATGATATCATGGCTTTTTGTCCGGTACAAATTGATGAATACTATATTGTGATATATGGTAGAAATGCCGGACTGCTTATATTTTCATTCATAAGCAAGATTATTTAAAACATGTGTATGATACGTATTACAAACAAAAATCGTCCGCGGCCAACAAACTTAACAGTTAAACGACTCTATGAAGAAAATTTTCGACGGGAAAATCTTTAAAGGTAAATTTTCAGTTATTTTTCACAAATAAATTTCTAGTGATGGCATATTTGATTTGTATCCACACGCATCTTCGGAAACAACATAATTTAACAATGACATATATCAGAAACAAAACTGAACTCTTCATAATACTGTCGATATAAGATATTGTCAATACATTATACCTCGCTATACTGTCAACCTTTGTCCAGATATAGGGGTAGGCGCTTCCTCGGTACTCCAAGGGTTACGCTCACTTTCACTCTCTGCATCCCTGGACTATGTCATAGCAAAATTGAAGGCACGCGGCCAGCTATTTGTTTGGTCTAAGGTAAAAAAATCACACCTGATCAATCATTAGACTTACACCAGTCTCGCTCCACTGCCACTAGCTCGCCGAAAGGACGTATGGCGGTGGGCGTTTTATCAGTGTAGGTACATGCATTACATTTATCCATCATTCCATCAAATATATAAAAAAAAACACCTCATAAACATGCCGATAATAAACGGCTTGCCATCATCTGACGTTAAAAGTGAAACAGATGTACGCCGCAGTTTTACGTTGATACCTTGATCATCGAAATCAACCCGCACGCCAAGGACAATCCGGAGATAGACCCCGAAAACCTGTATCCAAAAGAGGGACACATATTATATCCCTGCGATGATGAATACATGACGATCTGGGGTGTGGTTGCTAAGGAAATCCGCCATCTTGGATCCAAGTTGGCGCCTTAACAAACCACACCCCATATCTTCATCACTTCATCATGTGGGTTTTTTGTGTGTGACGTCATAAATTTAAGTGTTACCGACTGAATTATCTCCCCCTGTTTCCAATAGGTTTGTATATTTAGTGTGACGTTATTTTGACGGAATTAACTCCCCTTGTTTCTGACTTTTTACCTTCTGATTTCAGGTTTTGCATCCATGGAATGTCTATCTCTCTCTGCAATGCTTGACAGACCTGCGATCCCTTGCATGAGGAGAAAGAATGCATACAGAAATGAAAATCGCTATTATTTTGACTTAATAAAAATATCAGGCAGAAACTGGTGTGATCCTCTCTCTTCATGCTCCCTTCTCAAGTCTTCGTTCTTCTTCTAGACGATTGGTGGCAAACATGTAAGAATGAACAATAGGGCACCTGTTTGATATGTACGGCAAGCCCTAATAGTACATTCCCAAATTTTTTTTTGTCTTTTCTTTTCTCTGCATCTTTTCTTTTAATTTACAATATGTTCATTTTGCAAATGTATACTTAGAATGTTTTCCAACAATAATTTACGTCAAATACCTATTCTACAAGACGTACAACATGTATTATTCTCTATTTATACAAATTGCTAATAAATAATATACATTATACACAATATGCTATAAATAATTAACATCATCTACAATTTAATAAATAATTTACGCTTTATACAAATGAATAATCTACAGTATATACAATATGCAATAAATAATTAACAATATCTACAATTTAATAATTTGCAATGCATTATATACAATATGTAATAAATAATGTACACGTTACACATATAAATAAGTAACATGATACTCAACATGTAATAACATTTACAGGAAAATGGTTTTGAACGTAAAAAGGCTTTAATAATCCATAAACCAGCAGTGTATACACATGGATTCTTCCCAGAACACTCTCAGAATCAACATACAACAAACGAAGCACGGAATCAGCGTGTGGACTAAGGATCAATAGCCGTGCGGATACGTGTTTAAGCTGTTGGGGTCAATCAACCTTTTAGTGTATACGAGCCTATACAGTTTGGTACGATTTTCGTGGTACAACGCAAATGTCCTCTGATCCCTCATTATTTTAGCGTCTACTGTTTGGGTGACTCTCCCGCCGTCCGACATTATGATGTCTTTCATCACAGAGAAGTTGACAGTCCTGTCGTTTTGTACGTTCAGGGAAAATCCCCTGACCTAACAAGTCGTGTTGTTTTTGTTTGTGCGGTACGCGTAGTTCTAAGGTCCTGCAGAAACGAATTCAACTAAGTGTTCGTCGCGGGGTAGTTCGTTCGTCAGTTGTCCGACGTAATCGCCCAGTTCGGGGTTACCGAGATAACCGGGTGCGTGTACGTATACCACGCTGTCAGTGTCGTGGTACAACACCCTCTCTTTTAATTTCTCCATCACGTCGTACAGTTTCAATCGTGCCCAGCAGGTAGTAAACGAAGCCACGAAGATGTTGCTGTGTTCTCTGTCGTACGTCTGTTCGACGTGCGATTTGTATTGTACATACATGAGGTTCTCGTTGACAATTTAAAAATCTAGTAGCGCGTATTGTGGGTCGGTAATCAAGCGGCAGAAATCTGCCAGTTCGCTTCCTGTGAAATACCTACAGTTAGTGTACACACACCTCCCCAAAAGTTGTTCAGTTGATGTTTGGAAACGCACCTTAGGCCTGGGTTGTGGGTGATTCTACTGGGGTCCAACCGTATACCCTCGTTTCGATAGTACGCTTCCACGTAGTCTCTCTTTTTTCCATCGCTGTCACACCAGTGCGGCCAGTCGCTATTCTCCTGCTTGCATTTCAGGAACGTATCTATGTACTCTTTAAAGAGTTGCTTGCTACTGTCCTGGAAGTGGTACACTTCGTATATCTTCAGCACTACGTAACCCATTTTCACGGCTTTCTTAAGCTCCGGAGTGCACCACGTCCCCAAAATGGCACGCTCTTCGTCTTTACATGAACACATATCTTGCCTTTAGTTGACTGCACAGTCGTAACACAGGGGGAATTTCAATTTGTTGTTGCATTTCACGGGTAAGACATGTATGTATAGACCTCTAGGTGGAAGAATCCTCACCTTCGCCGAAGTAGTTGTCAAGGGGGTGAAAATCTGCCGTAATTATCTGAGGGTGTCCCGTAGGGTATTCGCAGTATTTGTCCACGTAAGGATAGAGACTTGTGAAATCGACGTAAAGGATCTCTTCGTCGTCGTGTACAACGTGATGCAACTTTAATGCATCAGTCCTGCCGCCAAAAAAGGAATCCCTGGGGTCGAGTCTCGTCGTAAGGTCCAAACTATCTAGGAATTCTTTGAGTCTAGGATTTTGCTCTTTGTCTTTCTGAAACAGACAGTTCCATTTCACGACTACTTGGCAACCGCAGTTCTGTAGGTACCTGACTTTGTTATCGTAAATTGACTTGAGTTCCGAGACGGACTGATTCGACGGTGGTATCTTATATTTTGTTCTGTCGTTGGGGAAGCACGTCTCACATCCGTGATATTTACAGTAGTTGTACTCAAACACTGTGGCCGTCGATTCGCTGAATCCGTCGGCGTGGTATCTTCCAATCTTCTTTTCGCCCTTGCCGTTTAATGCGTGTTGTATTTGAGTACACCGGGACGCTGATTCCCACTCGAGCCAACCTATGGATTCCATGGAGAAGTTGACGCGAGTGGTATAATCTTCAGGGGGTACTTTAGGAAGGTCCGTGATTAGATTTTTTTAAAGAGTATGTCTTCTCCCTGGAATTCGTCGTTGTCTACGTACCAGTGTCCGTTTTTCTGGTGGCAGAAACCCAGCCTCTGTCTCGCAGTTTCACGTCGTACATTTCTATCAGAAAAAAATAGATTTGAAGACAGACATGGCGACCCCTGCAGCATTCATAGTCGTAAACGGATCCATTCCCGTACTCTGCAGCAACAATTCCCGATACGCCATGCAGCCTTTCTTCAATATGTCTACTTCCCTCTTGCAGTATTCCATTAGTTCGTTCTTGAGGTCGAATAATTCCTAGTTATATATTTTTTCGCGGTACCATTCTGCAAATTTTTGTTTTCCAGCAGGGCTAATTTTTTCGAATGCGTAGTATACGGCATCCGGATAGGTTCCCACGTATTGACTGTTTTCTGTGGTGTTGAATAGGTGCGGGAAGTGTCCTTTCTTTAATTCTGTTAGGCCGAAAGCTTTGGGTATGTCTGCTAATCTCATGGGCAAGAAAGAGTGGGAATCAAGGAACCGCATGGAGAGACCCTTTGACACCTCCATGTGTAGCAGTTTACTTCCCTGGAAAATGGGGTACTTGGGTGCTATACCTTGTTTCGCCATGTATTCCAGCAAGAAGTAGTTGTCGAACGCCTTGGCGTTGTGAGCTACGCAAGTGTATCCGGCGTATCTGGGGTGTATGAGCCATTTACAGAAGTCGTCCGAGGATTTAAAGACTACACACGTGAGGGTTGTCGCAAGAGTGATAACCGCAGATTCGCCACGTCGGCGACGTTCCCTCGCATTCCCCGCACGTGGTGTTTGCCACCACCAGGTTTACTACGTGACGATATTTTCCGCAGCTAGAGGTCTTACAGTTACCGCACTGTTTTGTTGTTTCTGATGGGGTGAAGCCTCTCTCGCATTCGTAAACAGTGTTTTGCGTAGTCTCACCGTCGTAAAAAACTAGTTTCGTTAGAGAAGCCTCAGAGGTTATAGTCCTAATGTAACAAAGGTGTCCGACTTCCACCATTCTATCGCAGACTTTTCAGCGATACCAATCGCATTTGTGCTCGTCAGTTATGACGTCGTAGGTCTTGTGGCATTGCAGGCAACGTTTGACGAGTCCGCACCTTCCGTTGGATTTGTGACGTTGATAACATGCGTCGTTGCGACATTCTAGGTTGCAAGCTTGGCATACGATAGCCCTCGTGGATTTACAATTCACACTATACAGTGGTGTTCGCAACGTCGTTGATCTCTGTTGAAGTACGGGGTTAAACAAAGATTGCAGAAATAACCGCTGCTGAAGAAACTGGTCATACTTGTAATGCAATCGTAATGTTCGTCGTCTATCATCAGAGGAGGAACAAAATGCAAGCCAAAGTTTCGCAGACGGACAAAGTTACTATACTATATTACGTTTTAATACAACAATATTCCGTTTTTGCGTATTGCAGAGTTATCTTCTCTTGGGAGCAGGTATTGATTGATCTGTGTGAGAAAATTACGTCGTTTTATCAAAAATCGATTACGTTACTCTCACAAACAAGTGACGTAACAATCAATACCTGCTCCAATGAAAAGATAACTCTGCAATACGCAAAGACGGAATAGACAAGACACTATCAGCCCTCTACCAATTACACAGTTTGAATTGCCTGAAAGAGGACAACCCAAAAAACAAAAGCCAAAGGAGGAGGTGACGCGCCCCAGTACGGTCATTTCAATTAAGAAAACAGACTATGCTATATTTTACATTATGATATATATATTTATATTTATTATACATTATATTGTAATATTTTCATTCAGAAAGTATGCTTAAAAAGTATACTTACGCTTTCATACGAGCCCGCATCAGAATACTCCAATAGTGTTGTGTCGTCGTCTGAAGTGTTCCATGGAGACTCAGCAGCCTCGTTTGGTATTTCCACTTGTAAGGCTAACAATGGTAATTGTGCCACTGGAAAAGGTATTTCTGGAGAAGTGTAGTGTATTCTCTGAGTACTGGGCATCTCTGGAGAATTATCAAAATAGAGTTGGAATGTAACGGGTAACCATACGGGCATCTCCGGGGTAGCGTAGGTTTCCCTCTGTGTAATGGGCTCCGGTTGATATGTAATGGGGGACAATACGGGCATCTCTGGGGTAGCGTAGGTTTCCCTCTGTGTAATCGGTTCCTTTTGAAATGTAGTGGGTGACAATACGGGTATCTCCGCGGTAACGTAGGTTTCCCTCTGTGTAACGGGCTCCAGTACGTTCGATACAGAGAGTTGAGGGGACCAAGGAGTGAACATCTCTAAAACGAAATAACCTATGCTACTGTTTTCGTCGTCCCCCTCATAACCAGATGTGTCCCTGTGAACGCAACATAAAAAAAGTATAAATAAAATACAAACACGAAGTTTGTTGATGCTGAAATAATATACATAATATGTAAGAAAGTCCCACGCACGTCTTACGAAATACCATGGAAGTAGAATTAGCAACTTCGACAGATGCGACAGATCCGTCGTTACTTATGTAGGACAAATGATAGTGGTGTTAGTAATTATTTCGTTCTCTCTATTCTGCCTAACAAACAAATGTGAAAACAGCGAAACATGGGTTGTATTACTAGCATCATGCGTAGGTTTCGTACTTCCGGCACCAAAGATAAAGTTACAGAAAACGAAATATGCCACAGAAGAGACCTTTTAACGTACAGTTGGACTATTTACTTACAAATAGGATCAGAACCCCTAGTAAAACATTCCTCCTCAGACATACGTTTCCTTAGTGCACTAATGTGTATAAAAGATTGAAAAGGGGTACTAGGAAAAGGTATTGACTTACCGAATCGTGTTTCCATAATAGTATATCTCATTACATATCAAATCCTGAATATCTAGATTCGCACTCGAGTAAAAAATTGCAACTGCACTTCTGCATATCAGATTTTAGTTAAATACACCAACGTAATACAGTGACCAATAGAATTTGAGCAATGGAAACAAATGACCAATCAGATTTGAGGAAGTAAAATTGTCAGCCAATCAGAATTTAACCAATCAGATTTAAGGAAGCAAAAGTGTCAACCAATCAGAAATCAACCAATCAGATTTAAGGATTTAAAGTGTCAACCAATCAGAATTCAGCCAATCAGATTTAAGGAAGTAAAAGTGCCAGCCAATCAGATTTAAGGAAGTAAAACTAAAAACCAATCCGATTTATGAGCGTAGAATAGTCCTTATAAAAAGAGAGACCCTCACAGCTTTGTGTTCATTTAGTACTGTAAGCTTTGTCTTTGCTGAAGAGAGTACACATTTTTGTCAACATGGACAACTGTAACGAGTGTACTAAAACTTATTTCAGTAGGAAATCACTAGGGCGTCACGTCAACTTAAAACACAAGGGGTAAGTACTGCTAACATAACTAGCTATATGTATAATTTGGTAAAATAAATCACATCATTCTTGTATTACCTATAATCCTGTATTTCAGGAATACTGAGACATTTTTGACCTCTACACCAACTGTGAATTCTCCTCTACAGTTCCGTGATACCACAGAAGAACTAATGCAGCTAGTACACAGTAACGCAAATGAAACACAGTCTTTGATTCCTGAGTGTCAATTTGAAACAGACGACAACCCCACAGGATAATCTACAAGAACTAAGTGCAAAACAAAATACCAGCAGTGGCTCTACGCCTAAGCGACGGGATTTACCCACACTTTGTGAATCCTTACAAGTGTACAGGTTGGGAAAAGACTGTTTTGTGAAACTGTTCCTTATACCCTTACTCTGATAAAAGAATTTACGGCAATCAACCTTTCCCCTGCTACTGTGTTGGGCATGAAAACAGCTGACGGGAACATACGCGAGGCCATAGACAAATCCACTAGTGGAAAAGAGATACACTTGTTTAGTCACCTTGGTGACAATATGTATGTTTCGTTAAGCAGACACTACGTATGTGTAGACATCAGAAACTTTCACGGCAGTCACAGCAGCGACAATGTCATACCTAGAAAACATGGAATATGCATGGCATTCTGGGAATACTACCAACTATCCAGTGTGTTGAAGAAGTTCTAACATTGAACTGATATGTTGAGCTACTTGATTAAATGTTACAGGAATTGGCGTTTTCGTAAGACAGTGCGTGCAAACCCCCATTGAAACACTATATTATCAACTGTTAACAATGAACTAGATTCCTTAAGTATAGTATTTGACATGTTTCGTGACGGAAGAGTCACGTATTATAGAATTAAAGTACTGTTATTATTTAGCAAAGACTTGAGTTATAGATTGAACGACCTTATGTACATCAACAAATTTCATAAATTATTTCCTACGTTTGAATTGACTGATTGCTAACATTAATTTCAAAATTAAACACTTATAGTTAGTAAATACTAAAAGTTTTTGTTACTGGTTATCTATAAAGGTGTTTATACACTACACTGAGCAACGACACATCCCGTATCAGATAAAGATGTAGACATTGCTCAGTGATGCGTGAAAATCGGGTTTCTAATTTAGACAAACAAAATCATATACTGTTAATATTATCTGGGTTTTTTTTCTTCCTATTTTGGACATATGTGAATTTATAGCGTACAAATGTGGACACATATGGACGAGTAGTGGACACATACAAGTAGTGGACAAATAGTGGACAAGTAGTGGAAAAATAGTGGACAAAGGTGTACAAATAGTCAACAAAAGTGGACAATTATGGACAAGTAGTGGACAAATGGACAAATATGTACAAATAGTGAACACAGGTGACCAAATAGTGGACGAATATGGACAAAAGTGGACAAAATACATTCCAGAATTGTTAACATTAATTTTAGAATAAAAATATTTTAGCTGGTTATCCATAAAGGTGTTTATACACTACACTGAGCAACGACACATTCCGTATCAGCTAAAGATGTAGACACTGCTCAGTGATAC